AAGCCAGGCTTTGCGCCGGCCCAGGCCCCAGAAGGAGGTGGAATCGACGATGGGGGCCCAGAGGAGCTTGAAAGAGAAGGGGAGGGAGACGAGGGAGAAGAGGGCCTGCTGCGTGTAAGACACGTGGTCCTGAGGAGTAAGGATGCGGGGAAGGGGAGAGGAGGGGAGATGAAGGGGCGGGGGTGAGTGGATGGTCGCGGCAAAGACAGCGGGATGGGGCGATCGGACGCGAGGGTGGGAGCTGCGCCTGGCACGAGCGGGACTTGGAGGGCGGGGAGGACGATCAAAGGCTCGACAAAGACTACCCGGAGGACAGGGCTCTCCCCCCTTCCCTCCCGTGCCCTTGGCCGCCCTATTCCAGGGCTTCGTCCCCTGCCTTCTCTCCCTCCTCCCTCCCTCCGCACCGTGAGCAGGAAAGGCACCGAGGCGGAGAGGCCCATGGGGATGCCCTGCAGGGTGTAGAGGATCAGCAGCAGGGCGATGCTGCTCATGTCCCCAGGGGCCAGGTGCAGGCTGCCGCCGATGATGCTCGACTCCCTCCGGCCCGGGTGCGAGCTTCGGTGCGGGTGCGCTTGGCCGCCGAGCCTCGGAGGGGAGGGCGGGGCGGGAAAGGGAGGGTGGTGGAGGGGGCTATCCGGATCTTGGCGGACCCCGGCACCGAACCGCATGGGCTTGCGCAAGATGTCTGACGGGGAGGGCATGCTTGCAGGATCGAGGCCGTTCCTGTCATCGTCTGCCCTCCGGCGCGGGTCTCCCTCTTCGTCCCCCGCCCTCGAGGCCTGGTAGGCAAAGACGCGGTCAGCGCCCGGGGACATCAGGTTTTGGTGCTGGAAGTACGCAGTGCTGCTGCTTCTCCGGTCCAAGAGTGGTCGTGCGTCGTCTTCCTCCTCGCCCGAGTTGCGGTACGAAGCGTAGAAGGAGGCGGGGGAGTGGACCGACCCATCCCCGCCTCCGTCTCCTCCTCCACCTGCCCGCTACGGCGGAGACGTAAATCCATCTCTGTGTCTGACGCACGCTGAGTGCAGCTTCCACTCTCCAAGTCACTGCTCACAGGTCACAAAAGAGGAATGCGTGAGACTGAGAGACAGTACAGTGGAGGCAGGGTAAGATTCCCTCGAGGACAGCGCTCGAGGAACACATGATTCGTGAGCCAACGTGTCGCGGAAGACGATTTCGGAACGGAAAGTCAGCTATCTATATCTACTGTAGCAAGCGCGAGGAAGATGACCCAGAGACTCTCACACATAGCCCCTTACCCTTCAGCGAGATGGACAAGCTCTCCCTACCAATTTTTCCCGCTGCTGGTATCGCGCCTATCCGAGTCTGCGATTTTGTCTATGGTCCTCTTGCTCTTTGCTCGTATAGATGAGATCGACGAGCCTCGAATTGCAGGAGACGAAAACGAGACTGGGGAAGCCTCGTAAAGCAGGTGTTATGCTGTTAAAAGGGAGATCGGGAAAGGAATGAGGGAGAGGTAGGCTTCCTGATCCCTGTACCGGCTGACAAATTGCGAGGAACGACACACAAAGGGACGGCAATACTTTTCTCATCACACTCAGGCATAGTGAGCCCTATGGAAACTGGCTGGCGGCGGATCACTTGGCATAAATACACAGTCGTCAAATTGCGTGCTGTTCCAAGGGGGTTTCTGACAAACCGGGCTTGAAAAGAAGCATGGGCTTGGCGAAGAAGCGGCGAGGTAAAGCATGATAAAGGGGACAGAGAGGCACGTTTCCAGGCAGGCATTCGAAGAGACTCAAGTTGAGCGGGTCGATAGGTAAGAGGGTGGGAGAAACACGAAGCTTTTGATTGAGAGGAAAGGAGTAAAAGCCCAGGAAAGTGTCAGAGTGTCTCGACGTGGATCGATGCCTCCTCGCGCACGTCGGGGGCTACGACTGACGACCACCCTGGCTGAGACTCACGTTGTATGTGACACAGCAGTCGAAGTAGTCTGAGAAATATTGTCATGTCGTAACCAATAGATAGAACGAGGCAGCAGGGTGGTAGTGACGGCCATATTTATTAAAAATCACAAGCTGCCATTAAGAGGACAGAATGCTGGAATGAAGCGGCCCAGCGTGTACTGCCCTGTAGCCCCAATAGGCGACAAAATAATGCGCCTAAGCCATGACGGCCCTCGTCTAAGCCACACGGTGCAGGAATCGGGCATAGTAGCATGCTTTCGGATCACGCGGTGTTGTGAGGACTCCGCTCTGCTGAGCTCTGATTTTCCTTGGCATGCTCACTCTCACGTTGTCGCATGATACGCCTCTTATCTATTCTCTCTCTTCAAACCCTCCCAGAGCCATGCTAGTGTCAAGGATCCTTCTCCCGGTGATAACACTGGCGTGCAGCGCCGCAGCGATGTCGTCGAAGCGGCACGTTTTGATGGTTCCTCCTTGCTCCACGTTGAGGTCCGCTTGCCGGTTGCCATTGGCCACGGCATCCACCACCGACTTGTTCGGGGCTGTGTCTCATAAACAGCCTTGCAGACAGGGCGTTGGAAGAAGAAGGATAGACACGATTTCCTCCGGGCGACAAAGAATAGAAGAGCCGCGGGACGCATTCCTCGCTGCCCTGCGCGCGCGGGGCGGGGGAGGCGGGGGGGCGGCTGCCTCGGGGCTAAGCAACGCTGGATGGGCCACTGTAGTGGAAGGACTGAAGAATGGCTGTGCGAGCGGCATGGCGGCAGCCTGCGCGAAGCTCTTGCTCCAGCCGTTCGACACCGTGAAGACCCTCCAACAGGCGAACAAAGGGTCGTTGGGGATGCTGGAGGCGGCGCAGGACCTGGTCTCCAGGAAAGGCGTTTCCGCGCTCTACACCGGTCTGGGCGTCACCCTGGTCGGCTCGATCCCTGCCGTCTCCGTCTACTTTGGCGTCTACCAAGCTGTCAAGAAAGCGCTCCTCCAAGCGCTTCCTCCCGGGCTTGGCTGGTCGTTGCTGGGGGTGGCGGCCTCCGCGGGGGTGGGGAACACGGTCGCCTCCATCTTCCGGGTACCTTACGAGGTGGTCAAACAGCGGCTGCAAGCGGGCATGTACGTGAGCACGGGGCAGGCCTTGCGCACCATGTACCGGACGGAGGGCGGCTTGCTCGCCTTCTTTGGGACCAGCGGGGTGGCCTCTCAGATTTTGCGCGACGTGCCCTACGCCATCGTCACGCTCCTGACCTACGAATCCATGCGGCGGACACGCGCCGAGCGCCGTCTGGGACCTGGGGAGTCAAAGGGGGGCCTCACAAAGGGCTCGACGGCTCTGGAGGACTCGGTGATGGGCGCGCTGGCGGGAGGGGTAGGCTCCCTGGTTTCGAACCCGATGGACGTGGTCAAGACGCGCGTGATGACCCAGCCGGGCCTCTACCCCACCGTCTGGTCGGCGGTGAGCAAGGTGTGGGTGGAGGAGGGGCCTTCCGCCTTCTTCAAGGGCACGGTCCCGCGGCTTCTGCACAAGGTCCCGGCCAACGCCATCTTCTTCGCGACCTACGAAATCTTTCGCGGGCTCCTGCGCGTTCAGGGTTAGATGGGTGGAGGAGGGAGAGTGGGGGGGCAGAGAGAGAGGTGAGGTCCTTTTAAAGCAAATATGAAAGGAATTGAAGACAGGAGCCTGGCAAACAAAATGCCAATAGGTGCATGCGTCCTTGATCGATCGGCAACGTGGTGTTCTCTTCAAGGCTCATGGCTGACTCTATCGTCCCTCTCGCTCCCTCCTACAATCACTCTCTGGGCCTCCCCTTTCTCGTTCCCACGCCCCTCCTTGCCTTCGAGCATCTCGATGGGAGGGCTGGCAGGGCATGGGGAGAGGACCGGGAGCGGGAACGAGGTGGGTGTCGGCAGGGCCTCCCACTCAACTCGACCCTCCCCGCCCTCTAGCCTCTGAGGCTCGCATGCCCCCCTTCTATCCCTTTCCCCCGTCCCAGTCCCCTCTATGGTCTGGGAAATAGAGAGGTCTTGGAGCAGAGCGATCGTGTCGCCCAGAGCACTGGCAGACACGTTCAAGCTGGCAGCAGAAAGGGTACCCGGTCGCTTTTTCCGCTGATATTTCTCGTGCCTCCCATTCCACCTCTGCTCCACTATGTCCTGCCTCTCCTTCGGCGGAGGGATGTTGGCCGCGGAGATGGACTCGATACCGGGCGGGCAAGATGCAGCGACCTTGCCCGTGGCTCTAGGCGAAGAGGACGGAGACAGCGAGGAAGGAGGAAGCTTGGACGGGGACGGGGGGGGGGGGGGGCAGGGACAAGGACGAGACGGGGGAGGAGATTGTGTGCCGACCCAGTCTCGGGTCCTCGCCGCTGCCCTCCCTGCCCCCTCTCCCTGCGCCGATCGATACCAGGCCCTCCACCTTGCTCTTTTCATCGAGCGGCGGCATAGGCCGGAACGTCGGGAGAGGAGGGGCGAAGGGCGAGCGTAGCAGGGCAGTCAAAGAGTCCTGCCGGTCCACAGGAGCGGGAAGGGAAAGGGAGGGGGGAGGGGGCAAGCCTGGCGGGGGTGGTCGTGTGCGGTCTCACGGCTCCTTTCTGGCGCAGACGAGGACACAGGAAGGGAGGCAGACGGCGAGAGTGCTTGGGCTGAAGACAATGGGGGGTAAGAGGGCCCAGGCAGGAGAGTGGGCAAGAGGGAGGGCAGGGCACCGAGGGTGAGTGAGGCACTGCCCTGAGCCTCCTCATTGGTGCTACCCCTGGTGGTATCAGCGCCGCCTTCCTCCAGCTGCACAGGGGATCCCTCCAGCGACTTCCCTTCCTCCCTTACTTCGCTGCTATTTCTGGCAATGGGCGTGTTGAGATGCTTGAGCAGGAGGGAGGAGGGAGTGAGGGGGAGGGCGGCCGGTAAGTCCGTCGGCAGCTTGTGCCGCACCAGCTCAAGGCGGGAGGCGACCTCCGGGAGCTGCATGAGGGAGTCAGCTGTCAGACGCTGGGCGGGATCGTGATGGAGGAGGCGGGAGAGGATCACGTGGCGGAGGTCGTGCGAGTAGACCGTGTCCGTTGCCAGGTCGGACTGAAACTGACGCTTCAAAACCGCCCGGCGCAAATGCAGGGGAGTGGGACCGTCGAAGGGGGGCACCAGCTTCGTGAGCTCAAAAAGTGTGCAGCCAAGAGAATACAAATCGGATGCAAAGCCGTAAGGTTTTCCCTCCCAAATTTCGGGCGCCATGTAGGGAAGTGTGCCCCAGACGGCGTGGATCTCACCTGTCTCGTCGTCGAGGCATTTGGAGACGTTAAGGTCCCCCAATTTGGCATTCCCCTCCTTATCGAGCAATATATTCGCTGGTTTAATGTCACGATGGAGGACACGGAGAGCATGCAGCGCGGACAGTGCCTCCAAGCACTGCACCAAGTATACCCAAACCACTCGCTCGTCCACCCTCTCGCCCCTTGCTCGATACCGCTGGATCTTACGGGCCAGGTCCTGGAATCCGCAGTACTCCATGACAATGCACAAATGTGTAGGACCGTCAAGAAAAGTTTCATAGCAGCGGATAATCCGCGGATGCCGGAAAGAGGACAAAAGACGGATTTCATTGAGGGCCATGGCAAGGTCTCGCTGATCGAGCCCTTCTAGGTTCACGCGCTTAATTGCGTACGTATGATTGTCTGCTTTACGTATAACTTGATAAACGCTTCCATAAGCTCCTAATCCGAGCTTAGATAAGACATGGAAGTCTTGAATTGTCGTGATGGGGTTGTGTGAAGAGGAGTTCGGAGATAAAGCAGGGAGGAAGGAAGACGAAGAGGTCGGACGCTCGTTTTTACTGGGTTCCATCCCAAAGGTACAGCGCTAAAATTCGATATCGACCTATGTTATGGGATAAATTGCATTAAATGATGATGAGCGAGTGCCACTGACTTGCTTCGCGTCAATGCAAGTCGGGTGGAAAGGGAGGAAGCAGCGGATCGATTTCAAGACGTTGGGGCAACGGCTGGCGTGACGTACCTCGTTCGGGTCATAAACCCTGAGATGACAGCGACACGGGAAGCCTTGGCTTGAGAAGCACGCAGCGCATTGAGATGCATCCATATCTCTCCGCTGAGTGATCGTGCTGCATCTCGCATATCTTTAAACTTACCACAAGCACCCTTATTGCATCAAGAAGTAGGACAGCAATTTTTGGGTCGGACCTGAGGCAATACGGGGAGGCAACGCGTGTTTGATTCAGCAGCAAGTATGGGAGCTACATCGAAGCTCGTGCTTGCTCTCGCCATTGTCTCTTGTACGCTCTTTCCTATTGGTGCCTTCTGCCCGATGGTTGAGCGATTGCCGTCGAAGCGGGTGTCCGCGTTAGTGTTCATGTCTTCGTCTACCTCCTCTGACATCGCTCCGTCCGCTGCGGCCCGTGGAATCTCCTCCCGTCGTGATTCCCTCGTTCGTGTCGCCACGACTGCGTCTGCTTTGGTCTTCCTTTCTCCTTTCAGACATCCAGTATCCGCGGCAGTCAAGGCGTCATCAACCGAGGAAGCACAGAAGGCCGCGCGCGAGATCAAAGTCGCTTTGCGCAGCATGGCAGATATGCAAGACGCCGCTAGCAAGGCAGAGTGGGAGACAGTCAAAGACCTCCTGGAAAGGCTAGAATTCAAGAATTTCGAGAATACTGCCACGACTTTGGTGCGCTCCGACTTACTAACAGCAGAGGATAAGACAAGCTTAGGGACGATCCGCCGCTTCGGGCTAACTGCCGATTTCATCATCACCTTAGGAGGGCTTGAATCTGAGCTGCGAGCAGGAGGTGTACTCCCTCCATTAAAAGGAGCCATAGTCGAAGAGGACGACGAAGGTGGGGAGAAAGGCGTGAACAGACGGGAAGCATTGAAATTCGTGAAGTTGGCACGAGGTGCATTACAGGAAATCGATCGAATCACAAGCAGTGTTTTGCCCGAGGCAGAGCAATGAATTGTAAGCAACGCGAGTCAAGGCACCTAATAAGCCCGAACTACTTTTATGCTCTTTAAAAGTTTCATGTACCATTCTGTTACTTCGGGTCACCTGTGATCTTTCTCCCATCCGAGCTTCGCACTTCGATTGAGCCTGCTCAACCATCCTCAAGGAGGCTGAGAGACCCCCGCCCCGCCAGGCCACAGCTTGTCATAACACTGCCCTTCAGTCTACCTGGTGTGGCCTTCAACGATGCCCCCCCCCCCTGTTTTCTGTCTTCCGTTTTGGTAGCTAGAGAAGCCGCGTCTGCGTAGAGGAGGCCACAGAGCATCCCTAGGAACCCAGCAGCCTGGAAATGAAGATCCATGACGGTGCCTGAGTAGGCTTGGTATGCCTTGCACGGGCCTACGCTCCTTCTTGCGAACTCGTACGACAGGACGACAAAGATTCCTGAGGAGAGGGCAAAGAGGGCGACAAGGAGGGTGATCAGAAAGTCGGACCGAGGGGCGCTGTCGGGCAGGGCGATGTAGGCAAGGAAGAGGGGAAGAAGGGACAGGCGTACTAATGCAAGCAGAAATAAACGGAAGGGTTGTTGGGGGGGCCGAAGGCGGGAGAGGAGAGGTTGAACTAGGGGTCGACCAAGCAAGTCGGCAAAGAGGCGCGCGAAGTAAAGGACCTCGCAGATACTCCCGCGGCGGTTGGGGCGGGCGCTTCGGACGTAAGCCAGCAGAGAGGCTTGAAAGAGAGAACTTGCAATAGTCACCAGCAGCGTCCAACGATAGGGGGCAATGCTCGTTTCCACGAAGTCCTTCTCGGTCTCCGTCAGAGACCGAGGTCGCATGTCAGGTGGCTTACTCAAGCGTTTCCGGAATCTGGTCCAATCACTGTCGCATACCGTGACAAAGGTGGTTTCCCTTCCTATCCATGTGCTGTTGGGGGGTGGATTTAAGCTCATATCCCTCCGGGCGTCGGACGAAAGCGGGGCCTCATCTCGGTCGGGCCCGCCGCAGCCCTCCTTCTCCTCTGTACGCAAGGGGGCAGCTCCCTGTCCTCCTTGCTCTTTCAGTACCAGCAGCCTCCGCGTAAGAGGATGTGACATGACATAAAGCACGATCCCAGCCCCTAACGCGACCAAGCCGGCAGTAACGTGAAAGAGCAGTCGGAGAACACGGCGTTGCGGCTGAGAATCCGGCTGCAGAAGGGAGATCATGGCTCAAGGGATTATCGAGAGGGAAAAGAGAGAGAGATAGAGATATGAAGAGAATGATGAGGCAAAGGATGACAAAAGTTGAAAGAAAGAGTAGGCCTTACCAAAGGCGTAGACTTCGGGCATGCGAAACCCTGTTTGTAGCCATGAGAGTGCGCCCGAGGGGAACATTGAGGCGAGGGAGGTGGTAGTGCCGTGCGCCAGCCAAGTCGCAGCACCCATCATCCCAGTGACCCAAAGCCAGCATGTCCCGTCTTCCACGGGAATTGAGGGAATGACGGCCATAATCAGCACCAGCGTGAAGAAAGCAAGGAGGTTTCGAGCAAGTGTAATAGGTTGTGATCCAAAGCGAACTTCCAGATCCGACACGTATATCACTTGTAAAAGCGCCACAGGGAGACCAGGTAGATAGAACGCACAATTAAGCTTTACAAAGAAATCAGGTCCATTATCTTTTTGGAAGTAAGAGATGAGGGACCCCACCACCGTCCAAGGAGACATGTAGGCAAAGGCGAGAAAAAAACAGGAGGGCCCGAGAGTCCAAGTAAGTGGTGGATGGACTTCATGAGATGAAATGGACATAGGTGCAAGGTTATTTAAAAGCGGCAGTGAATGGTTTGAAGATATTTCGCGGGTAGCGTTTGTGTTGTTGCCCTGGCTCAGATTACGTCTTGATTCGTCAGTCCGATATATACTCGGTATGTCCGATAAAGTGCCAAGTTGTCCCAGATTTGATATAGCAGGCGATGCTGGAAGACTTCTCTCAGAGAAACGAGCCGTGCTCATTTCATCTTCCTCAAAAGCGTTCGGTACAGCCCCAAAACTCGTTGCAGCAAATTTATGTGCCTGCTTGCGGCGAGCTGCAGCACTCAAGTTAGACGCCTGCATCTCCTTACACGTGAGGCCGTAAAACGGCGTGATAGGAACGTTTTGAGATGCAATGCACGCTCACTTGTCTTGTTAGCGGTGCAAAGTCACTCCTGGGGCAGAAATTATTGTCAAGTTGAGTTTGGAACAAGATCACAGCTCGAATATATAATTAATTTTGTTACAAGATCTCGTTCCGGTTCCTATTTCAAGCACTCACTCACTACTTGGCATATGTATGAATTTTCATACTTTCATGGCTCTATCGAACGCCGCAGGTCCCCCGGAAATGTGTAAGGCACGACGTGTGGGGCCCGCTTCCGAGGCGAGTAGCCATGTTCCTCTTGGCGATGGCTCGAAAGTCAAGCCCTGCCCCTCGCTCTCGCATTGGCCCGTCCTTTGGCCCTGCCGATACAGAAGTCACGTGAGTATCCGGGGAAAGTTCACGGATGTACACACTCACATTGATCAGCTTTCACAGGTCGCCACCATCTGCTGTACTTTCATTTCTGCACGAGGAAAACCCCGATAGCTGACCGGCTTGTCGTCATGGGACGCCCCAGTGCTCGGCATTGCCACATCCTCGTGCCTGCCCTGGCCATAGTCCCCTTCCTCCGTGTTACGGACGCATTTTTGGTCCCTTCCTCGGTTGTAACCCGCGTCGCATCACCCCTTTCTAGTACTCCAGCCAGCATTCGATTTTCGCAAAATGAGCAGCAGGGGTACTCAAGCCGTCATCCTGTAAAAAGAAGAAGAGAGTCTCTCCTTTTCACCCCTCTCACCCTTGCTGCTACAACCTCTTCCTCATCAGCGTCGGTCTCAATTGAAGGACAAAGTCCCATTGTATTTCGTGCCGATATTGCGGGTATGTCGCGCAAGCAGGCCCTGGCTTGGCTCCATGCCTGGTGCACTCGGTCCCTTCCATCCCCTCCGCCATCTGCCTCTTCCTCCTCTTCTTCCCCGGCATCACTCAGCACTCGACCTTACGGAGGGCAAAGCGGCAGCACTACTGCCTATGCGGCACGCCTTCAGGCCCGTCCCGGACTACCGGTGGGTGTGACAAGCCTCCCAATATCGCCCACGCTCACCGACCAGGGTGCCCGCTTGGTCTGTGAGGGCCTGGGCCCGGCATTTTTGGACGTGGAGGTATTGGAAAATGGAAGGCAGGCGTCGAAAATATCGCTTGTAGTCCGGCAATGCATGGGCCAGGCGAAAATGCAGCAGCACTCCCTGTCGATTCGGGGCCTGGCGCGGGACACGGAGAAGACCGTGCTCGAGAAACTCGAGTCTGACTTGGTGGTGGCGCTGCGAGGGGGGGAGGGCGAGGGGGAGGGCGTGGGTGTAGAGTTCCGCACAGGATCCGAAGCGGAGGCCATGGAAGGGTTCTTTGAAGCCGTCCCTGCTTCGTCGGAGGCTGTGGACGTGGACGACGAGCACTTGGAGGACAAGGGCCTCCGACAGGGGCCAGGGGTAGAGGGAGAAGGACAGGGCAGCGGCCGCCAGACCAAGAGCGAAACGGGGCCCGAGGACCGCGTGGAGAAGCCTGATAAGGAAGAGGAGGATGCACGTCTGCGGGAGCTCATCGAGACTCTGGGGCTGGCGGAGGCCCTTGACCTGGAGGAAAGGGGCGAGGGAGGGGAAGGAGGACAGAAGAACGGGTGGGCGGACCCGAATTCTCCCTTTGCAAAAAAGGCGGTAGCGGCGTACGAGGCTTTCGTTCAGGCTCAAAAGGGGCCAGGGGCTGAACAGGGAGGGGATGTTGCCTCGGCAGTGGCGGGGATGGGAGATGTGGTCATGGAGGAGCTGAGGGAGCGAGGGGCCGGAGGGGGGGGAACGCCCGAAGATGTGAAAGCCATGTTTGAGAGCGGGCTCAGAAGTGCCAAACAGGAGGCGGATCGGGTCGCAGCTAAAGGTCAGCGGCAGAAGCAGATGCTTGCGGTCGTGAAAGAGGTGGCGGAAACGAGGCAACGCGAGGTGGGTGGGAAGGGGGGGGTGAAGGAGGGGCTGGCGACATTGGAGATGATGTTTGAGGGGACTGGGCTGAAGGGTGGTGTTGACGTGATGGCTGGACCGCCGGGAGAGGAGAGCCTGGATCTGAGGTCTTGGGAGAGGGGTGCAGAGGAAGCTCGGGTGGGGAGGGAAGGCGAAGCGAGGAGCGAGGAGGTGGAGGACGACGAGGACGAGGACGAGTGGGACGAGGCCCTGGGAAGCATGGGGGACGCAGATCCTTTGGGGGATCTGGGCTGGGATGTGGCGGCGCGTTTTGATGTGCTGGTGCGGGAGCTGGAGGCTACCGTGGACTCCCCGGACTTGCTGCCCGCCATCGCCAGCCAGTACCACAACGTGTTTCTGAGCCGGCACTTCTTGGGCCTGATGCGCGCGAGGCTGGAGGCGTGCGAGGCGGCGATGGCAGGGGAGGAGGACGGGGAGGGAGTGACGGCGGCGACCCCTGTGGTCTTGGCCAGAATGGTGCGCTTCGCGGAGCAAATGGTGGTGCAAGTGCAGGAGATGGGGCAGCTGTACGAACTCCAGCAGCTCGACAAGATCAAGGCGATCTGCGCGGTAGCGGAGGAGGACATGGGCCGCCTGAGCGAGTACGTCAGCAGTCGGAAGGAGGATCTGGACGAGGATTTTGTTCGGTACTTGCAGTATTTGATGGAGGCGGAAAAGCTGCGGTTGCGGGGCGCGGGTGTGACGCGGCCGGAGCGAGAGCCGTCGAACTGGCTGATGATCTTGGAGATCGTCAAGAAGGGTGTGTACCACGAGCTGGGCAAGGCCGTGCGGGACGACGTGAGCATGGTGCATTTCATCACTCGCTTCGACGAGGCCGACGAGCGCGAGCACCTGACTCGGGCCCACGTTGCGCGCCTGGCGCCCTCCCAAGTCATTCCTTTCAAGCGTGTGGTCAACCAGATGGTCGATCATTTCGAGAGCCGCGTGAACGAGCTGAGCGAGGCGGAGCTATCCCTGGCCGGGCGGGTGCTGGAGGTGGAGGACGTGCTGGAGGAGCTCCACCCCGACTCCTCCCTGCTGGCCCTCCTGCAGAGCAAGGAAGGGGGCGTGGGCCTCGAGGCCTACAAGACGGGCGCTGAGACGCTGCTACACGACCCGAGGGAGTGGGATGATAGCGCGGTGGCGGGAAAGGAGGACGAGCTTTTTTCACCGGAATACCTGGCCGCCAAATACGATCGTATCCTCAAGCACTACGGATTCTCCGCCTCCCGCCAGAGAGGTCGGGGCATGGGCCAGGGGGACGCGGAGGAGGAGGAAAGAAAGGCAGGGATTGGGGATATTGAAGGAATTCTGGGGGGAAACGCGGATACGCGGGGTGCGCTGCCTGCTGCGCTGGAGGCGTGGGTAGGGACAGAAAAGACGGAAAGCGGACCAAAGGAGGAGAAGGAGGAGCATGGAGTTTTATCAGTTGGCGCGGCAAGTATCGAGGAAGCGCTTCGAGAGGAAGGTCTTCTGTAAATACCATAAGCAAACATGTCTGAGTCAAAAATGATACCATCAAATGGAAATGCAAACTATGCGGACTTTCCTACGATTTCTTTCCTCATCGTCGAGCAGATTCACAATTTTTACATTATTTTCCATGTTTGGCGTCACGTCACGCTAGACCCGAAAAGCATCCAGAACAAGGGCGATTTCACCACCTTCCCCACTTTAACAGCCCGCCTTCCTTCCCATCCCCCTTTGCATTCCATGTCTCCCTCCTTAGTCAGCTCAAGCAATGCTTCGAAATAATCCTGCAGAGCCCGGGCCCTGTCCTGACACGCACGAGAGATTGGCTGAGCCGCAGGCGTACCCCTCAAAGAGTCCTCCCCCGTTGTTTTCCAGGCACCTGCATCTCTTGAATTGAGCCTTCGATGCCTTACCGAGCCAGCGCCCATAAACATTATCCTCCGTTTCGGAGGGAATTTCTTCTTTGCGGCAGGGGGGACCAGACCCTGTTCGCACCAAAGGTGATGAAGGGAAAGCAGCTCTGAATAACGCTTGACGGCAACGTGCGTGGACGTCGTAGCGGAGGTGACCCGTGACAGAGCGAGAGGAGACGCGGAAGAGGGCAACAATGGGCGCGCGGGGGCCTCGAGGGTGGAGGAAGAAACTTTCTTAGGCAATTTGAGGGTGATTTCGTAGGTGACAGCTTGAGCTTTCCAAGGGGAGATGCAGAGTTTGTCATAGCCAAGTATGGGCCGTCCGGAGCAGTGGAAGAACCCATGGCAGCCGAAAGGACCACCGGCACGGGCAACGACGCGGGAGGATGAGGGCGGGGAGGCATGGGGCACCACGCTCACGGCATGCTCGGGGAGGCGATGCCGGGGTTCCGCGAGGGTAGCCAGTGGCGAGACGATTCGAGGGGGCCTGATCATTTGGCCCTGCCCGCGCTGCTCATGCCTTTCAGGGCCTGATCCTCTTTCTTCCACAGACTGGCTGTTGCAAAGGGCACCCACTTGAGGAAGCGAAGACCCTGCCGCCGCCTTCCCCTGTCCGGACCCAAGCTTCCCCTTCCCGCCCGACAATTCCCCATCTCCAAGTGGTGAGCCCTCTGTTACCTTTCCCTCACTTTCTTGTTTCTTCATCATCTCCTGTTTGCGCTGACGAAGTCGTCTTGTAAGGCTTTCTTCGGCTTCCGCCTCAGTCGAATCTGACGCCGGCCCTTTCATCCACCACGTTTCCCGTACCGTCCCAGGAGAGCTAGCAGGCAGGTAAGAGGGCGGCTTCTTGGCTGGTGGACCCGTTGAGTCGGACGCCCACTGGGGGGCGAATAAGCACTCGTGCTGAGGGTCTGGAGCCTTCACTAGCTCGCTCGTCAGGCGCCCTGAAACAGGGAGGCAGCTTTCCTCCTCCCCCTTCTCTCCACCTTTCACTTTCCTTCCACCTCCTCTTTGCGCCTGCGGAGAGACATCAGCGAATAAAGAGTCGTTCGATTCAATGCAGGACTCCGTCAGAGGGCTCGAGAAGCTGGGTATGACTAATAAAAAGAAGGGGGAATGGGAAGACAGAAGATTAAAGAGAGGTCGTATGCTCAGATTGAGCCCATCGAGGAAAAAATGGAAATGAGAATACATCTTAGATTGAAAATGGATGCCAGTGCATGCGTACATTATCGCACATAACAGCAATCGCCAGGTAACACAGAAAAGTATGACAGCCAAACACTGTAGAGGCTGCGTGGTTTCCTCGGCGAATTCAAAGGCGAGATATACAAATCGGACAACCCATCATTCATCCTATCTCTCCCTCCTGATGACATCAAGGAACTCTCTTATGTACAGGGTATATCACATCTAAGTACTTCTCGTACCGAGGGTCGATGGGAGAGGGCTGTCTATTTCCTGACGCGCTTGCCTTTGAGGCTCTCCACTCAATTGTATCAGTACGCGCTTCGTACTTAGCCAAAGTTCCTGTGGATCCTCCGTGTCTATATTTTCTTCAGTGATATCATAAGCAGACTGGTGCTGTTTCAATCGATTTTCATTTGCAAACCCCCCATATTTGACATCTTCCTTACAAGGAAGACTCATCCATCAAACGGGTGCACGACCATAACCGACATATGAGTTATTATGATTCGCTCCCTGCGCGTCGAGGCCTAATTCATTTGCAATAGAAAGAGAGTATGGCGTGAGTCTCTCTGAAAGAACCAAAAAAAATCAAGCCTGTGTGTGAGGAACCAGAGAAAAGCCTCCCGATGAGGGCAAGGGACGAGGGACCTGAGCGCTAGCCAAAGCGCTAGGTGCCAGAATCTTAGAATGCGATAGTGCTTATCCTGTAATTTCAATTGTAACGCAATTGTCCTTGATAAAAATCCAAAATGAGGTGTGTTCCATCCTGCGTGTTCATATTTTAAGCTATCCTCTCTCCACCGGGCTTCGGAAGGTTCAGTGACGGCTCCGGGTACCGTTTCTCGATTCGCCGCACCCTGGCTCTTGCCATAACTGACGGATCACCCTTCGAGCAAGTTAGCAGCGAGCTCTCCGAGAATGAGAAAACGAACCCGAACACCACATCTTTACTGGAAGCTTAAGAAACTCTTTTGAAACAAATGAAGCAGAAACGTTCTCGTACGTCTTTCGTGACTATTTCTTCTGTCATGTAGCTCGCATGCGCAGGCCTACTAGTACCATATAAACCCACGAGTTCATGACGGCCATCAGCTGGAGTCCGGCCCTCTTATGCCACCTAATCTATTGCTATGATAAAGAGTCATACAAATGGACGGTATCCACGGGGAAAAGAAAGAGTGCAGGAAACACTCAAATAAGAGGCAACACTGCAACTATCCCCTACCCGCCCGCGAGGGTCAGCTACCGCCTTTCTCGCACATGTATGTTATCGTGACCATCATTGTCACACAGGGTGTTCTAGGACATTGTTTGATCCAACCTTTATTGTACGCCGCTATCTTTGCTTGCTTGCGCTTGGCACCTGGGGCATTACCCATGTCACAACTGCCAGTAAATGCTCAATTTTTGTCGATTAGCACAGTCAAACGATCCGTGACGATTGATGACTTATGAAATTTCAAATGTTATATCAATACTTCTCCTCTAGACATTGCTCCTGCTAGTGGTCACGCGGGATTGACCGTTCGATGGCAAGACGCTGCATCGTTCCTTGAATAGTGACTTTAACGACAAGTGCTTGCTGTCCACCCCCGAATGGAAAGGAATCAGTCTCTGTACGCAAGATCGAGTCTCTTTTTAAAAGTTTAGACGCCCAAAGATTATGAATCCTAAGCGTTGCACGCCAAAAACTGCAACTCAACTGGTGATCGCTATGGTGTGACTGGAATTTTCGTCGGTTGACATTTCTCACGAGCCCTGTCGTGTCTCGTCGTATAGCCATGCCTGAATAGAAACGAACTGTCGATTCTCTTACCTCATGCAGTGATCACACGACCACTCACTGGTAGTCTTCGCCCCCTACGTCTACTCTCGCCCCGAACACTGCTCCTCCTCCGTTTTTTCATATACTTTTCGGTCCCGACCCTCATCATTTAATACTAGATGGGTGGCAAGTCCCTCGTAGTATATTCATAAAATCGTCGTTTTATATGTCGCTCTTCAATATGTGCTTTGAAGTTATCTTTTCTCCCCGCGTCTGCGTTTTCCTCTTCCCTGAATGATTGCACCCCTCTGCAACAATTTTGAAAACGCTAGAAAAAGGAAGATCTCTTCTGGCATACATATCTTCTACAATTCAAGCGCTAGGTATCAAACCCGCCGTCACATAGCTAATACGGACACTGAACGTTCCCGGATCTATTCGCAATCTTCCGAAGATAGCCCAAGACTAGGATATATGCGGCCTTTTGTGCTAAGCGCTGGGTCTGTATAAGATCAGCGAGGCATCCAGCATTGTACAGCTAAGCCCAGATCGAAGGGGTCGTTCCACATGCCACCGTCCCTGGGAACCGGTACTCAGATCTCTTTTCCCGACCCGCTGCTTGACCAAAGCGATAGCCACCGGTTTTTCGTCGAGATGTGTAGAATGACAGCCAGGAAGATATGCAGCCAGGGCTAGCGATAAATTGCCGCTTCCGGAACCGAAATCCACGCTATGAGGCGAGGAGGATTCATAAAATGATCTTTGAAAGAGAGATGCGAATAAACAAAACAAACGCTGCGGATAACCCAATATCCAATTCAATTCTTCAGTACAACTAATATTCTCCCTGAGAATATATACCAAACGATTCACCCAAGAATCTTGTACTAAGATAACAATACGAAAGACAACCAAAGACACTGGTCGACGCCAGTCCTGTTGTCGTATTATGATATAACATACAAAGTGATTAGGTGGACACAAAACCATGACATGACACAATAGCGATCAGCACCACGTGGTACAGACTAAAGAACCCATAATGGATATGGCTGCAACACTCTCTCAACCTTCTATCGCTGATCTCCTGTTCCTTAAGTGTCATCATCATGTCATCCTTATATTCGTGTCAGATTACGCTGGTGAGTACCATTCTTGAGCTCATTACAAATAGCAGCATCTCTTCTACAACGAATAAAGCGTCTGAGATAGGACTGAAAGAAGAAGAAAAAGAGGTCACTCACTTCCTTGAAGTAGACGGGCACGTCTTCAGTAGGAAGAGGGTAAAAAAACTAGGCCCCCTTGCACTACTGGAGGAAAATGGGTGGGGAATTTTGGATTATTTGATTTTTCTTTCATAGTGCTTCATATTTCTTCCATCTCAGATATTTCCTGCTCACACCGGAAGTCTCGCAGTAAGCGCTGAGGAGGAGACAAAAGCGCGCGAGATTACAAAGGATTAGCACCATCATTATCCTTGCGTCGGACGAAGGAGCACGGGGAAAGGCACGTACCAGGCACCAGTCCTGTAGACAATCAATATTCCCGCGTATAAGATGC